GGGAAAGAGAGATTCCCTTTTAGTCCTCTCTTCCAGACTGAAAAGAAATGATAATATTTTTAATGACTTTTCTAATTTGGAAATAAAAGGTCATGCAGAAGGATGATTGACAACAGGAACTCAAATCATACTGGAGCAAAAGAGATTAATGGTTCTCAAGAGAGCCTCCCGTTCCCAGAGTGCCAGGGGAGGCAGTGCCGTGTAATGAAAATGGTTCTGGCTGTTCTCCCACCGGCCGCGTCCTCTTGGACAAAGTGCTCTTCTGAGCCTCAGCTTCCTCCTGCATAAAGTAGGGACGTTCCTATTTCTGTAGTCAGTTTGCTTTTGCTTTTGCTTTGTGATGGGCTTCTCTCTGTCCCCTTCTCACTTCTTTCGAATCCAGCCTCCATCAGGCAGCTGACTAACTGAGCTCTTTCTGTGTGTCCACACTGCCAAACCCTCAGCACTGCTCTGAGTCCTCACAGCCACCCTGTGGGGTCCACGTTATTATCATCTGCATTTACGCTGGAGGCAACTGAGGCCCAGAGAGGTGAGGACACTTGCCCTGGGTCACAGCTAGAAGGAGCAGAACCGTGAGATCCAAACCCTGAGTCTGGATCCAGGTGAGCTGATTTCCAGGGGTTTCTTAGCACAAACGATACTGTCCCTAAGCTTCACCCCTTTTTGCCCTTCTTTCCTCCTTCCTCCTTGTACACTCGACTCACCTGATGTCAGTTGTGCCTGAGGAGTGGGCTACTGACCCCAGCTTAGCCTTCAGTCTACAGCCTCCCTTCAAGGCCACAAGGGCATCTTCTCTTGGAAATAAGAGGCCACAGGACCTCGGTTGCCCCTTCCCATCCCATCCCCCATGTATCCCCCTGCCGGCTTTAGTTTTCCTTTTATCCCTCGTGGGCCCACTGTTAAAGCTGAGTTGCTGGGTTTTCTCCTCTCCTAACTAGTCATGGGGGGACCTAACGTTCAAGTGTCTGTAGCCACTTGACAGATATTTATTGAGCATCTACTTTGTGTGGAGCACTGTGTGGGGCACAGGGACACAGAGGCAGAGCAGCCATCCCCTAGTTCAAGAATGCTAAGGCGTGCCTGATCAGTTATGAGGCAGCAGCCATGAACCGAAAGCCCTGTGTGTGCCAGATTGCTGAGAAACGCCCGCAGGCAGAGCTGCCGCCCATCCTGGCTCAGATGGCGGGATGTCTGTCTGCATTTATTTGCTTAAAACACACTTAAGTAGGGACCAGTGGGTGGCGTAATGGTTAAGGCGCTGGAATCCCACATGGTCAACCGTAGTTCGAGTCCCACACCAGGTGGCATGAGACCCACATTGGAAATGGGTGCATACGTGCCCAAAATCCTGAGAGGAGAATGGAGGAGAAGGGATTGCGGTGTGGCCATTTCTCACTTTCTGTCTTTCCCGTGCATATGCCCTATAGCAAAAATCTCTCAATAAAACCACACACACTTAGGTAGTACTTGGCGTGTGCCAGTGCACATATGAACTGTGTGTGTCCTTATAACAAGCCCATGAACTGGGGCTGTTACCATTTACAGGTGTAGCAACGAGAGCAGAGGGATAAAGGAGCCGCCCCAACGTTGCCCATCTAGTGACTGGTGGACAGAGTCAGGCTCCAGTTAGAGCCTGGGGCAGGGGGCGTTAGCCACACAGGGGAAGACAAAGGAGGGAGAGATGACCTTCAGAGGCTACAGGAAGGCCACCATGTGAGCTTGGCCTGGCAGAGAATGGCGCGATTTGGACTTGAACTGGTGGGACCTGGAAGGAGATGTCCTGGAGAAGCGTTCAGGGACTGAGGCGTGTAGAGCCGTGTGTTGTATAAGGGATTGCTGGGGGAGTTGGGAGGTGGGGTGGGGTTGACTGCCGCGTTCATGTGTGACACAGTGGATGCTGTGCTCTGGGTGGGTGAGAGCGGGGAGGACACAGGGAGAAGAGAGGTGGCCAGATCCCACATGGCTGATCCCGTGGCTCAAGTCCTGGACCCCGTGACTTGAGTAACTCATCAGGCACGTGTGCGTACATGCCCTAAATGCTGACAGGATGGAGAAATGGAGGAGAAGGGATTGTGGAGTGGCTATTCCCTGGGGGAGTGCTTTCTCTCCTCTCTCTCTCTCTCTCG